GGCCAATATTCAGACACCGCTAACAGCATCTAGGCTTTCCCCAGGGAAGCATGGAGGAAAAGGAAAACCCTGCAGCGTGGTGATGTTTCCAGGCTGGTTTTCCTTGCATTCTGGGGACGTTCCCACTCTGCTCTTCTGCAGCTGGAGGGAGACACAGCCCTGCAATGTGTCCACACTGCGGGGCTTTCATCTGTTTAAGCATTGCTTTAGATAAGCAGTGCGGAAAGCGAAGGGGAATTTTGTGCCGTAAGGAAGAAGGTGCAGTAGTGTGGAAAGCCCATATTGAAAAAAAAAAAAAAAAAAAGCAGAGAGAATGAGGGGGTAGTTCTAATAGTTCTAGTTCCCCCAGCATAGGAAAACTGCAGTGCCATTTGTTTGCTTGGCAGTGTGTAATGCTGAACCTTCTTTATCCCTTAATACTCAGCCCGGAAGATCTTCCAAATAGTCCTGGCATCAAGTGTTTCCTACAGCAGTATTGTTGGCAAGTGCTTCACTTACACTGGGCAAGGGCGTTAAATGAAGAGGACAGGTTTAGAGTAGACATTAGGGAGAAATCCTAATGGGAAGCCCTGGCATGGCTGCCCTGAGCTGTGGGTGCCCCTTCTTAAACTGGATGGCTGCTTGTAAGGGACAGTCTCTGTCAATGAGTGGGCACAGATGAGCTTGGAAGGGTGTATATGAATATACACTAAGTAATACAGGCAAGTATTTGGCAGTTCCCACTGCCTTCAGGTGCAGCAGGGGGTGCTCAGTGCCTCTGCACTGTGCATGGTGCCACCTCATGTCTTGGGGCCACCAGGATGCTTGTATATAAAAAGTAGCAAATTCAGGTCAGATGAATAATATTTCCCCTTTCCTATCATTGGAGTGTTTGACTTTGCAACTATGGTGAATGCTGTGCGTAGTTTGTTTGTTTGTTTTTAATATGTAATACTTTGTGTGTACATGTACCCAAATGTGCATCTATCCACACACGTAGCTCACAGCAACATTTTAACTCAGGATATCTGCAGTGCTCACAGAAAACTGGTGCATTAGGTGTGTGAGGGGGACCAGCTGCCTCTTGCCACTCATCCTGGAGGGGAGATACCTCATATCACAGCAGGACTCATGCTGCTGTATTCATTCAGGCAGGAACATCAGTCATCCCTTGCCACAGGGTACAGCTCCCCAGGACAGCCTATGGGATGCCCCTCTCTGCATCCAGCCCAGGGAGCACTCCTATTTATGGTGTATGGGCTTCGGTTCTTTATTCATCAAGCAGCAGCTTTAGCTTTTCATTGTCAGCACTGAACTAATCAGAAGGGGGAGCACAGGAAGGGTGGGGACCGGAAAAGAGGAGTTTGTGGGAACATAACAACGTTAAAGAAAAAAATTCTGCTTGTGTCAGTTTAGTCTCCCCATTAGTTACCTCTACCATTATGGATTCATTTTTAGATCCAGACTTCAATATACATAACTTTAAATCACTAACATCCTTCATGGCTCTGTGATTTGCTGGTTCCATATGTAGCCTCTTGGCCCATTGCATTGGCACCAGTTCAATTCTTGTTCTTCCTTTGGGTTACGGTTTCCTTTCTTTGATGGGGAGGGGTAGAAGAGGGAGAGAGAAAAAGGGGATGGTGAGTTGGAAGGCAAGTGATGGAGGACAGAGGCAGGATGGGAGGGAAGGAGAGGAGCAGAAGAAAAAGAGGCGATGCAGACGGAAGAAGTGCTTTAAGGAAAAAGTAAAGAAACAGTGAAAAAAAAGAAAAAAATAAGCAGAAAGAGGAAAACAATGAGAAATGCCATCGTGAGCAGCCATCCCTTTCCCAGTGCCTGCAGCGTGTGCCATGCTGCTCCCATCCCACTGCACACAGTCCCTGCCTAAACTTTACAATTGAGCTCCCTGAGATTTGCTCGGGGCCTGGGCTGACAGCTGTATTGAATTTTGGTTTATTGTGTGATTTATCAGGGCCGTCAATGGGCATTTGGATGATTTAGTGCTGCAAAAATACCTTGGAATGCGACGTGCAGCAATATCTGCATTATTAATAACAATAATAATAAAGATAAATGTCCCTCCCCAGAGCTTCTGATGGCCGTGCCACTCAATTTAACATTTTAACAGTGGCATGTGGCCTCTCCATGGCACCTGGTAACGCCTGATGGATATGAGCAGGCAAAGAAAAGGTTATTTGTCAAACGCTCAGCCTCAACTGTACGGTGTTTGGAAAGCTCCAGGTCAGAGCAGCCTGAGCCGCATTCCTGTCCCTGACATCCAGCGGGACTGAACTTTGTCATGTTATTAAGCTGTCAGCAGCACTGGGGCGTTATTTGGATTTCTGGTGGGAACTCCTTGCACATGGTTGGGGTGCTCTAGTGGGATTATATCAACACCATTGTAAAACACACACAAATGAGCTGTGCTGTAATTACCACATGAAGACCTCGCTTGGCTGGGTTAATCAGCAGAGAATGGGGATACCAGATAAACACAGACGAGCCACCAGGATGTTTATTCCTGTGGCAACAATGCCATTGTTCCCAACAGCCACCAGCCTGGTTCTGGGGCTCTACTGGCAGCTAAATCCCCAGGCTGCGAGTGCTGTGCACAGAGAAACGTCTGCACCTCCTCAGGGAGGACTGGGGCTGGGAAGGTGCAGAGGCAGCAAGGGAATGAGGTGATGTGACTTTTGCTGATGTAAAACCTGAGGAAAACATTTTCTCCACTTCTGCTCTAAGATCCACTTCGCATGAGGCTCTCGTGCCCACCTGTGGGACGGGGGCAGCTCTCCATGCACCCATCCCCATGGTGCTCTCGAAAGGGGAAGGGACAATGAAGGTGTTATCTATTCCAGCTGGTGCTCAGAAAGGCAGTGGGAAAAGCAGCTGCTTGGGCAGCTTTAGGCTCTTGCTCTGCCTCAGCAGGTCACATTTTAATGGGATGCTGTGGTTTGCTTTAAGGCACAACTCCACTTCAACTGGAAGAGGAAAAACCAACCGGGGTAAGTAAAGGAAGAATGCAGTGCTGGTGAGTTACAAGAGAAACCCAGAGACCGTGGGCTTGGGAGAGAAAGCAAGAGTCAAGGAGAAATGCTGGTTCCGTGGAGAAGTGTAAGAACATGGAAAAAGCATGAGCGCCTTCTATGAAAATTCTTCTCTGCGTTGTTGAGTGTCTCTGTTTCCACTGGCTTCTGGGACCAGGTGGGACATTGCAGACAGAATGACCATGACAATGTCAGTGCTGTTTCATTCCTTCTGCTGTTTGCCACCTCTGCCTGTCCTGTGCCCCATGTTTGCTCTTCACCTGTCTCATTTACAGGATTGAGGTCCACCATGTTCACCATTAGCAAAAATGCAATAAATAAATAATACTATCAACTACTTACCTCCTCATTGCCGACACCACTGTGACAGCCAAAGGGCTGGGACTCTTTGCTGCCCTGATGCCATGGGGCTCCAGAGGCATCTTCAGTTTTGGTAAATGTGAATGTGCAGCTCACACATCTTCTGCAAGTTACTCCTCAGTTAAGGTTTCATCCCAGATGAAAGGCATTTTTCAACCAAAAGGAAATTCTCATTATAAAATGTAATCCTGTCAGATTTTTCCATTCAAAATTGCTGGTTTGAAAACATGGTCAAATCCCCACCATAATAATTAATCTTCATTTCCTAACCAACATATCAAAGTTAAATATCTCATTTATAATCAGTATTTGGAAATGAAATTACATTCTAAGTAAGATAACAGTTCAAAAGGAACCATTCCTTCCAATGCACTGCCATGGGCAGTTTCTGGGTAGCAGTCCTTGCCACCTTGTGTTCCCTGGCCTGTTTCACTCTCCTGCTGTCTTCTGACACGTGGGCTGGGTGAATGTCTTTCATCTTTGTGTGTACCATGACATGGAATGATGGGGAACACAACTCATTGCTAGCACCTCGAGGCAGGGATGATACATGGCTGGCTAAGTTCTTTGCTATGAGAGTGGTGAGGTGCTGGAACAGCTGCCCAGAGAGGCTGTGGATGCCCCGTCCATCCCTGGAGGTGTTCAAGGCCAGGTTGGATGGGGCCCTGGGCAGCCTGGGCTGCTCTGAAATGTGGAGGTTGGTGGCCCTGCATTGGTGGGGGGTTGGAGCTTCATGATCCTTGATGTCCCTTCCAACCCAAGCCATTCTGTGATTCTGTGATGAAGAAGAGGAAGAAATGATTTCTGCTTCAGTTTCACAGGGGAACTCACAAGAACCCTCTGGCTCATTTTTGTTGTTCTCCAAAGATGGCCAGGCACCACTTGCATTGGGTCTTCTGATTCTTTGACTCCCACTTGACAAACCTCATAGTCACATACCTATCCCTAAATCCAGGCTTGAAGTCAGTGGGATTACTTATTCTGTTGATCTGTGATGGAATTTTGTGCGTGCGTGGGGACAAGTTCATTTGGTTTATAGAATGAAGGCATTTGCACTGAGTTTTCTTAAAAAAAACAAAAAGATGAGATCTGGGAGATTAATGCCACCAGATGGGAGTGACATGGCAAGAGAAGCACCTTGAAATAGCTCCATCCTCCGAGGACCACCTTGGCAAATCATGTCTTCTTTAAAGTGTCCCCAGTAGTGCAATCTAAATAGCTAGGGATTGCTGTAAAGATATGTAGATAATAGAATTTGTAATAGGGAGGAGTTGATAGAATTGTAGCATCATAAAATGGCCTGGGTTGCAAAGGCCCACAGTGTTCATCCAGTTCCAACCCCCTGCTATGTGTGCAGGTCACCAACCAGCAGCCCAGGCTGCCCAGAGCCACATCCAGCCTGGCCTTGGATGCCTGCAGGGTTGGAGGATGCTCCTTAGGCAACCTGTTCCCTGAGTTACACAGTGCTGAACTGTTCCCTATGTAACTTGCATTTTCCTGATGGTTTTCTGGATTGTCTTAAACGGTAAGAAAATAAACACTTTTGTTCCTGTTATTATTGAGGGCTGTGTGGTTCACTTACTACACTGCCAGTAGTTTCTTGCTGTGGTACTTTCTTTCTCTTTCCATCTCTCCAGTCCCTCAGCAGCTCCAGAAGAAAAAGCCTTATATATCACTCTTCTCATAGCTGCGAGCCCAAAGTATTTAAGAGAAAATGTAGAGCTCACTTGAAAAAGAGAGTTAAAAGTGTTCCCCCAAAAGGGAAAGTATTGTAACATTTGAAAGATAATTCTTCCCGAGACCCAAGGTTTTTACCAGCATCTGCAGCCCTTCCCAAAGTACTCTATCATCAAATGATTCAATGTCATCATCAAAGAATTTCTGGCTACTCACTTGCCTTTAATAATAGTTGAGAAGTTTAATGAAAGGAAAGATCTGCATAGATTTCTTCCTAAGTTGGATGAAATCCTACTTTTTTCTTTCTTTTTTTTTTTTTCTTCTTTTTTTTTTTTTTTTGTAATATTTCTGCTCAGAGAAAATTATACCTTCTGGTGCCAACGATGTGCTCTGTATATTTTGTTTATTACAGCGGTTTAAACTGGAACCATGGCTGAGGGAGTATCATTATAAAATTCTTGATGCCCTTGACATATTTGTGCATACATGACTGTGGGCATGGAAGGCAGTGAAGGAGATGACATTTTCTCCTTATTTTAAACATCTGCTTGGTCACCCAAGTGTGGTACCCACTTTGCACCCTCCAGGCAGTGACACTGAAGTCCTGGCTCAGAGCAGATTCGTGTGTCCAAACCCGCTTGAGGTGAAGCCATCTTTCTGCAGCCATTCCTCCAGCCAAGCCATGGCTAGGTGACAGTCCCACTGGATGGCCAGACCCATCCTGTTGTTTGCCATCACTGTGCTGTAGGAAGATGACTGGCTTCTCACACACTGGCAGCCCAAAGCTGTACAAACCAGGGGTGATGGCAGCCTGAGCCCGTGGGATGCGTGTCTTGATGGGGGGTCAAGTAGTTGCCCTGCGTGTTGAATGCAAAGAGTTTGGTCCCGTAGAGCTGCAAATTCACTCCGTGCCCACGTGCCTGGGAAGATGAGTGCTGGAAACCAGGCCTGCTGGTGATCTCTATACAATTCTCTCTCTTTTTTTCTCTTTTCTTGTTTTTCTAGTAATGAGTTGTTTCTCTCCTTGTAGGACAGCAAGAGGTAACAGCTGCAGAGAGGGTAGACAAGAAACCAGTTGAAATTGAAGGGATCAGATTTACTAAAGAGCTGGACTTCTTCCCATTCTATATGTACAGGCTGGGCCAGATTTTCCAATGAATTCAACCATAAGTTCAGCCACAAATTCAGGTAAATCCCACCAGCACACTGGTAGCCCACCACAGAAACCTTCATTCAGAAGGATGCTAAACCCTCACAGAAAGCTGACTGCTGAGTCACAGGCCTGCTCGTTCATCTTAATTTGAACCATGAGGATCAAATAATTGATGGTGATGAGGGAGAAGAGATTTTCTTTTATTTATCTCAGGAACTGCTGCAGAATGCTTAGCAGGGCTAATTCAGAGCCCATTGCACCTTGGCATGACCCTGACAAGCCAAGTACTCACCCCAAGCCCTCCCTTCAGATAGGTTCATCTTCACCAACCATTGGCAAACTCAGGTAGGTCCATCCATACCAGCTGTTGGCTACCTCGGAGCGAGGTGCCTCTGCCATCAGTGGTGTGAGATGAGCACCTCCCAGAGCTTTGGCTGCCTCTCTTGGGATGCAAAGAACCACCTCCTCTTCCAGAGGACCTGCACAGATTAGCTATGTAGCTACAGCATGGCTGAAACCAGGTGAGAATAATCTCAGGTGGAGGGGCTACAGGTGTGAAGTGCTGGCTTTGCATGCTTTGCTGGATCAGGGCAATCAGCAGCTGCTATGTAACCTGCACCCTATATTGTCTGCAGAGAAGTAGGTAATCTTTCTGACCCTTTCCAACCCAAACCATTCTGTGATTCACAAAAACCACTCCTTTGACAGGGACAAATTCTGTTTCTACCCTAAAATGGCTCCTTTTATTACAGTGCCATGCTTGAATGGTATAGATAGCTGCTAGCAAAATGTGATTGTTTATTAGGAAGAAAACCAGGCAGGAGCCACAGACGTCTACCACGAGAACTGAGGGAAAAGCTCTCATTGACTTTGCTGGACATCAGGGATGAGCAGGATGAGGGCTGTGAAGAAAGAGCCCCATCAACATAAAGTAGTGTAGGCTTACCAATAAGTAAGCCCACAAAATACTACTCTAAAATACTAATACTACTCTGAAGAAGTGTCAAGTGAGGTTCTCACACTGATAGCATTTGTGAAATGTTTACATGGTAAGGTCATTGTCCAAGACAGAGAAGCAGGGGGAACATTCAGGAAAGGAAGGAAGTTAGCAAAATAGTGGTTACTCAACCATGGTATAAATAAGTGCAAGTCCTGTTGACTCAAAACATCTTAGGGGTACTCTGAAGGCAGCATATGAATGGAGAAAACAGTGTCTTGGGAGAGCAATAGTGGTTTTGACTGTTTTGGTTGGGCTGTGTCTTCAAGTTGTTTTGCTATTGGCTATTTTGTTAGTGTGTTTGCTTTTATTTTATATTTCATTAAAACAGAGTCTCAGTGCCTTGACCTATGCTGATGGACTAAACTGTACTACGGAGCATATTCAGACATAGCCTGCTGGTTGCCTCTGCTACTAAATTCCCTGATTTTTCTTCCTGGCTTTCTCCCCTCCAGTTGTGACCTGAGAGTGAGCAGAGGCTGGGTACTGTTCCCAGTAGAATTCTGGATGAGTTAATCAGTTTGGGGAGCTGAAGGTGTTTGGCTGAATGGACATGGACAGCCAGCTAGGGGCAGCTTCCCTGTTCAACATACTATTACACATGCAGACTGTGTGTTTATGGTCAAAATTAAGCAAAATATGTAAGTATATATCCACAATGAACAATTAGTTAGGGCTGAGCGCTGAAATCCTACCGTCCTATACCTCCACTGTGCTGACTCTGTTTGTTTCAGCCCTGTGTGAACTGAATCAGCCCACTTAAATGGCAGCCAATGGTGCATTTCCACATTTCTTTGTTGGATAAATCTTTTTCACTGTAATGAGCTGTATTGGCTCAGATCAAAGAATGCAGCCTGGGGAAAGGCCAGAGGAGAAAACTGGACTTAGGATCTGGGAATGTAATGAGAGGAATCTCCAAGAGCCTGAGTGGGTCTTGAGCCTGGTCCAAGAGTAGGCATTTGAGGGTAGTGAGATCCTGCACACAGTTTATATACCATCCTTACCCGGGATTTCCCATTCTAGAGCTCCATCTTATTGTCTCTTGCTTTTTCTCATTCCTCTCCCAGCTTAAGAAGCATTCTCATCTCTCATCTCATTTCCCTGTTGTATCTTGGCCTGTATTCTCATGGGGAATCACATGTATTTCACGAATGGCAGTCTTACACTGATATTGCTCGTGCTAAGGATGATGTTTATGTCCATTCTGTGCCACATATGGGGCAGGGAGGAGACAAAAGTTCATCACTAATAGTATCTCCTGGCATTTGGCAGCAAATGTTCAACATCTCTGGATGGTGTAAACATAAATTACTGTAGTAGCCTCAGGCCAGCCCACAAGAAGAAAACAAGCTTTAGTTTCATGGCCATTGCTTATCTTACAGGAAAATATAAACTCCCCCCATGAGATGTTGCCAGTTCAACAAAAAAATAGTAAAAAGAGAAAATAAACCAACATATCTTGTTTGTTTTCTCACAATTCAACAACAACAAAGAAAAAGGAATGAACGAAAATGGGAAAATTACTAGAAAATTAGGAAGGATTGGAAAGAGATGGTTAAAAATCAGAGAGAAAAGGAAGAAATAATTGTTTTTTTGAGGAACCTCCAGTCAACAATTGTGCAAAACATTCTTTTGGAGCATTTGTAAAAACTAAAATTAGACTTACTGGCTGTTTACTAATACTGTACATTGCTTTTGTTTTAGAACATATAAAATAAATGGACTGGCTAGTTTTACTGTACTATCTTATGTCCTTAGTATTCTAGGTTATATTAAAGATCTTTCAAGGATAAGAGACTTGAGGCATAGAGATACACTAATAAGGTAAGTAACAGAATTTGAAATATCTGTAATAGATCTCCTGCTTCTTCCCTAATGAGTCATCCATTACTAGGACAATACTAGCTGCTTAAATTTAATCTGTGCTTAAAGATTCCTCATGGAAAGGGAAGTAGATAGTGAGTCGCTGTTCTCCTGTTGTGCACTTGTGTTCAGGATTTGACTACTGGCAGAAGCTGAATGAGTTAAACCAATGCCATGGTGCACCGCAGGAACAGACAAACAGTGAGTTTCCATAACCTCCCCATATCACTTATGGGTTCAGTTGCAAAAGAAGTGTTATCCTTTGTCCGAGTTTTAATGGAAAGCAAATGTACTTCAGGACATTTTTTAAAAGTTGAATTGTGGACAATGATAAATAAGTTAGCCAGTCCAAACGTGGAGAAACTGCTTACGGGCACTTGATGACTTAAGAAGCCCAAAATATCGTTCAGTCTTTCACTATTGCTTGGTTGGTTTTACTCTACCCCACGCTGATAGTTCCTACTGCACCAGGCACATCTGCGTGATTTTCATGACACACTTTCCATGAAGTTCATACCTTTACACCAAGGATAGTCCGAAGGAAGATTTTTGAAAATTGATTTTCTCTGTATATTTTTGAGAGAACAAAACTAGTGAATTGATGTTCATGATGGGAATGCTTGTCCTGCCCTGTATGTTATCTCCTGCTCACTGCTCCTGGTGCTGCTCCTGACAGTGGTCAGCCTACTTGCTTGGAATGCTTGAATTGTTTGGGGTAAAATGAGAGCTCAATTTAAATTGTTCCTTAGAAACCCCTTCTTCTCACATCAAGGTCTTTCCAATTTCCTGTGTCATATCTGTAAAGTTTCTCTTCTTTTCTGGGAGCAGGTCTTTCAAGAATTCCTTTCTCGCAGCAAAAATAGAATATTTCATTAGCAAGGTCTGAATCAAAAGGGATTTTTTTTTTTTTTAAATTCTTCTGTTATGTGCAAGTCAACTGCAATAAAGATACTCTGCTTTGAAAGTGAAACCATGTGAAATAAAGGGCAGCATGAGGAGGCAGACTTGAGCAAGCAGCACTGCCAGCTTTTGCAGCAGTGGGCCTGGGTGCAGCTGATCCTGGATGCCTACCATGCTTCTCTGTTGTGGATTGCCATCCAATTGTGGGGATCACAATTGGTTGGCTTCATGCAGATTTACTTCCATCAATTCACACATGGGGATGTAATAGAGTTGAGGAGGCAGGAAATCATTTCTTGCTGCCATTGAGGTGGAGGCTCAGGCAAGAGGTGATAGATACAGACCACAGCAGGTGGCATTGCCTACAAAGTCCTAGCTGTCCAGCTTTCTACCTACCTCGCCCTCTTGCACCAGTAGAATTGTCAGAACATGCCCATGAGGACATGGATGCACTACGTGCAAGTGCGCTGATTGCCTCTTGGCCACTAAATAGGTTGCTAAAGCAATTCATATAGCTGCCATAAGTGCAAGTCTCACATCTTTGTTGCACCAGGCGTGGCGAATTAACTCAGTGTTCCCTCCATTCAGTGGCTCTGTATTTCAGCCCCTCAAAAGAAGGGGGAGCTAACAAGTTTGGGAGGCGCGTTGCCTCTCGACGAGAGCACAATGCTCTGCCATCATATTGCATGTGGTTCTGGCAGCAGCAGAGCTGACTGCCACGCTTTCACCAGCAGGTCACTCAAGGCAATGGAGAATTCATTTCAGGGAGAATTCAGGGAAATTGCTGTTTTAATAACAGGGCAGTTTTCACCCACCTCTTTCACCCTAGCCTGAATGCTACAGAGAGCACTTCTCTGTGTGGATTGGCTTCCTCAGTCAGTCTGAGTCATTTTTCTGAGTCTTAAGTTTTAAGGGACTTTTTGCGGCTACACATTGACTCTGGCTTTGTCGTTGGCATCCCTACAGGAAATTCAGCCCCACGGTTTTGGTGTCAGACTCAGCAAAACAGCCCTGGGCTGAGTGAGAAGAGCTAGATCCTCTGGGGGAAAGGAGAAAGTGCTGTGAGGCACTCAGGGCACAGAGAGCTGCCCTGCTGCCCTTGTTGTTCTAGTTCTGTGGATAACCAGAAGGTTGCAGCCTTCAGCCCCTATGCCAGGCAGAGCTATTTTTAATTAAAACTAAAACCAGGAAGTTTTTAATATGGACAAACCAGGATGTTTCACTATGAAGTTCTAAAATTTATACTTCTGAGTCCTGGTTAAAAGACAAAAACATTTTTCTTACTTTCCCTTTAAAAAAAAAAAAAAAAATTAAATTTTTAAAATTTCATACAATGGTCTAAATATTTAAAGTGTTTTTCTTGTTAAAAGCATCTGCCTATAATCTCATACAGAAGCTGAAAACTCATTCTTGGACACCAACACAACAAAGGCTTCACATGTGAACTGGGAAGGGGTCGTTCAGCAGTATGTTCTACCCTATGTGAAATTGCCATCATTTTACAATATATTTATTTCTTGCTGTGTTCTACACAAGAACCCACAAGATATCAAAATAAATCATAGAATCATGCAATGAGTTGGAGGGGTCCTGAGGTGCCCCCAGCCCAGGCTGCCCACGGCCCACCCATGGCCTCGGTTACCTCCAGAGATGGGCACCACAGCTCTGGGCAGCACTGCCAGGGTCTCATCACTTCTGAGGACAGAATGTATTCCTAGCATCTGACCTAAATCTCCATCCTTTTAGTTTAAAGCCACTCCATGCTGTCCTATCACTATCAGGCCATGTAAAATGTCACTCCCCCTCCTGCTTATGAGCTCCTCATCCCTGGAAGGCCGCAGTGAGGCCTCCCCACAGCCTTCCCTTCTCCAAGCTGAACACCCCCAGCTCCTCAGCCTTTCTCCATAGAGAGGTGCTCCAGCCCTCTCAGCATCCTCCTGGCCCTCCTCTGGCCCCGCTCCCACAGCCCCACATCCCTGCTGTGCTGGTGGCCCCAGGCCTGGACGCAGCACTGCAGTTGGGGCCTCGTGAGGACAGAGCACAGGGGACTATCGTGGTGTGTCATAGCCACCACTGATCAAACAGGAAT